TGATTGTGGCAGAATGCAGATGAGTCGGGGTGACCATTCCTAGAGCACGGCATCTTGAAATGCAAGAGTCGAATGCCGCAGATATGGAATCTGTCATTGTCCAACTTAAACGTGAGATCCATCAATTAAATATAAGATAGCGTAAGGCGAAGAAACTGACAAAGGTGATGAACACATGCGAGGATCCGGATGTAGAGGTTGAAAAAATAATGATTGACCCGGACCTATAATCGGATTCTAATTTGTCAGATTTTTTCGACTCCGAAGATAATGACTTTGAAATTCCACTGCCAAGGAGTCGTACGTCCAAAAGAAAGTGAAATGTTGTTAGGGTTGTTGGAAATTATGATGTATTAAGCAGACTACTATATGTCTGCAGTTATAATTTCAGACGGATCTATATATGTTACAAATTTATGTTGGTTACCTTCAAGGGATTTGGCCTGGGATTATGTTGGGATACTTACTACGAATTATATTAATTAAAGTACGTATTTATTGGAATGTAATGGACAATATATATTCTAAGATAGATTTATATAGTTGCCTTCCTGGTCTCATATCATAAATACATAGTCTTAATTATATATCAATTAATAATTTCAATCTAAATTTGAAATACGTAATTTCGCAGAGACTGAGATTAATTAATATGAATTATACAAGTTGGATAATGAACTTATATTCTTTCCTTTAGTTTACCAAACACAATAAAAATAAATGACTTATATATATTGGTTATGAATTATATATATTGCTTATCATAATTAATAGGAATTAATAGTTCAAATAAAGACCCGAACCTAATCAATCAATCCACAAAAGATTACCTAATTAGTAGTAATCCTAATTCATACTTCAATAAATTGTCAAATGTCCTTCTCAACTGCTGTACCCTAATGGGCCGGGATTTGGAGTCACTACGAATTGACACCCATTTTTTATCCATTTAAGTCAGCAGTAGTCGCCATTTAACTCCCCATTTATGGTAGTTTTGTCACAACTTAAGGCATCTCTTATGTGTCATTTTTCTTTACTTTTTCCTCTTGGACGACATAATATGCTTATTTGCCTTCATTTTTCTAAATACTACCCTCATGCATATATATATATTTTTACGTCAACTTTTAAATATATATGGCTTCATATTTAATTAAACATCACACATTATACACACATATTTCTTACACATAAAAGAAAATACCATAATATAAAAAGACATACAAGGTCCAAACCCAACCCAGCAACACTGCTTGCAAACCTTCCAAAAACTGCGTCACACCTAACTTCCGCACATACAAAGGGAAACCCACCCCCTCTAAAACATTCCTTCACAACCAGGCAGAAAGGGTTCTCCGAAATCCTTTGTCGTTCCTCAAGTTCCATCATCACTTGTGGCGTCAGAAGAGTTGAGAACTTCGATGACTATGTCATCGTCAGACTCGGCTTTCCATAGCTCTTCAAACCTCATAGGCACCGTTCCACTCTCGTCACCAACCTCCAGAGGCAAGTGAGGTCAGTCCCATAATTGTCAATTCGCATAATCAAGTATTGCAGCGTAGGTGGAAGATTTGGACCAGTGGGTGCTTGATGAATGAAGAAAGGACTGAAAGTGGGGTAATTGGGCCTGGGTCTGCTTGGTCTATGGTTTGGTAGTGCACCATTGTTGGTTGACCTAGACGAAGACATGATGTTCGTGGGTGCTTGGAACACTGCTCAACACATATATTTATAGCACAAGTTGTAGCACTATGGGTGGGATTGGTGGTTGAACCGATTTATGTTTATATGACAATCCATGAATAATTATTCAACTACCTCAGTTCTTGGGATTGATAATACAAATTAAATTGATTTTATGTTGTAGTAGTTGAGAATTTATGTACGTACTTCTTATATTTTGTTAGGTACTTATTGGGATGTTGTTTACAATACATATATATAATTTCAGGCAGAATGAAGTAGTTGCACTGTCTGTCTCATATCCTAAATATATAGCCTTTATTTTATATTTCATAAAATTTTATATCTAAATTTGACGATAATAATTTTGGACATATTTTTTTTTAATTGATATAAGTTGTATAGGTTTATGAACTTATATCTATGAATTTATATCCTTGCATTTCATTTACCAAAAAAATTCAACAAGGAGGAGGCCGGTATTTTAGAGTACCTCTTTTTAGAGGTTGGCAGCCAAGGATACTGAGACTGGAACCCAGGGCAAAGGGTGAATGATTCATGTTTTTAATCCATGTAGGTAAAACAATGTAGGAATGTTTTCTACACATTAGTTTATTTTTGTCCTACCTTGTAATGTTTTCTACAAAAAAACATAAAAAATAAAAACAAAAAGGAGGTATTTTAGAACACCACTTTCCCTACAATTATGACAGCTTTCATTAACGTTCATTTTGGAGTGACTGCGAATTGACAGCCATTTCCTATCAATTATAAACCAAATTGTCAGCATTTAACTCCCCATTTATGGTAGTTTAGTCACAATTTAAGACGTCATACATATGTAATTTTTCTTTCCTTTTTTCTTATCACTTGTCAAATATTATTCTTATTCATCATTTTTTTTCACACTGCCCCCATGCATATATATAGTAACGTGAATTTATACATATATATGGCTTCATATTAATCGCTTCATATACTAATGTTCACACTACATAACTAGTAACGTTCATTTCTAAATATATATGGCTTCATATATCATTTAATATCATACATCATACACATAATTATTACACAATAAAAAACATACAAAAAAATACCATCATATATACATACATAGAAGGTCCAAACCCAGCACAGCAAAACAGAGAACCTTCCAAATACTACTTCACACCAAACTTCCGCACATCGATAAGGGGTCCTTCACAACCAGCCGCCTCCAAAACAACCGTCCTTTCTCAGGTTCCGTCGTCACTTGTGGCATCAAAGGAGTTGAGAACTTCTATGACCTGGTCGTTAGACTCTTCATTCCACAGCGCTTCAAGCCTCTTCATGCGCCAATCCACCCTCCTCACCATACTCGATAGGTGACTCAGGTCACTCTCAAAATTATCTATGCGCATAATAAGGTATTGCAGGGTAGGGGGAGGATCTGCAACAGATGGTGCTTGACGCACAAAAATGGGACTGAAGGTGGGGTAATTGGGGCTGGTTGTGTGTCTTCTATGGAATGGTAACGCACCATTGGTTGGCCTAGAGGAAGACATTTTCTTGTAGGTGCTTTTAGCCAAGTTTCATGATATATATTTATAGCAGAAGTGGTGGCGCTGTGGGTGGGAGTGGTTGTTGAAGGCATTTGTGATTCTAATCCACAGTTCAATTAATATTCAACTACCCCAGTACACATTTATTATTCTGTTGGGATTCTGTTAACATATTATATTAATTTTATGTACGTATGTGTTGTGATTTTATGTATATAGGTATTGTGATTTTCTGTACTTATGTATTATGATTTAATTTATGAATTTCTTGAGCTATTATGTACGTACGTGTGTGGATGTTTGATTGGTACATTTTTTATCCTTCAAGTAACATAGTGAAACTTGTGCAAAGGTGAGTGTTAAAATTGGAGTGAATTTTTGTACAATAATGTGCTATTGTCCACTTACAATTGCCGACATAAATGTGTTAACATGTCTTTAATCCATGTAGGTAAAACAATGTAAGAATGTTTTCTACATAGTACTTTATTTTTATCCTACCTTGTAATGTTTTGTAGGAAAAAATAATTTAAAAAAAAGGGAAGAAAAATGAGGTATTTTAAAATACCTCTTATTGTACAGAACTCGATGATACTGGAACTGGAACCCAGGATAAAGGGTCAACATTTGCCAGCACCTAAGCCAAGAGCCCATCGTTAGTCTCAATGTTTCATTGGTACATTTTTTATGCTTTAAGTAGCTAGAGTTACATTAATATTTATGATCCATGAATTAATATTCAACTACCCCGCTACACATTTATTATTGTGTTGGGATTATATTTACATATTATATTGATTGATGTCTTTGATCCATGTTGGTAAAACAATGTAGGAATGTTTTCTACATATTACTTTATTGTTGTCCTACCTTGTAATGTTTTGTACAACAGGCCCTCCAAAAAAATAATTAGATAAAAAAGAAGGTATTTTAGAATACCTCTTTTCCGACATTGCCACACTTATTCATACTGAGACTCGAACCCAGGATAAAGAGTCAACATTTGCCAACGCCTAAGCCAAGAGTCAATTGTTAGTCTCAGTGTTCCATTGGTACATTTTTTATGCTTTAAGTAGCTTGAGTTACATTAATATTTATGATCCATGAATTAATATTCAACTACCCCACTACACATTTATTATTGTGTTGGGATTATATTTACATATTATATTGATTGATGTCTTTGATCCATGTAAGTAAAACAATGTAGGAATGTTTTGTACATATTACTTTATTGTTGTCTTACCTTGTAATGTTTTGTACAACAGACCCTCAAAAAAAATAATTAGATCAAAAAGGAGGTATTTTAGAATACCTCTTTTCCGACATTGCCACTTATTCATACTGAGACTCGAACCCAGGAAAAAGTGTCAACATTTAACCACGCCTAAGCCAAGAGTTCATTGTTAGTCTCAGTGTTCCATTGCTACATTTTTTATACTTTAAGTACCTTGGGTTACATTAATATTTCTAAACAAACAGTCTATCCAATTTGACAGTGATTCTCTTATGTATTTCTTGCTTCCAAAACATAGTCATACCCAAAATAAGACATACATTTTGTAATGTTCGAACAGTGAATTTACAAAACATGGTGATACTCAGCATGTGGAAAATGTTATAAGCATGGACACAATGAATACAAGGTCAATTACATGACAGCTAAAGGTAACAAGGGCACCCGAGTTAGGCCATAAACTTTATACAAGAAGTTCAAAAGATTACAAGGATACACACAATCAATGATAAGTCAATTACATCACAAGTTTCTTCTCAATATTGAAAGAGTCGATGTTGAATTGGATGATTCATCCCCGACGTCATTGCCATTCCAGATGTTGGCGTCACATTTACTTGCCCATGTGTCTAAAATTAACCACAACGACAACAAATGTAATCCAAATAATTTTTGTAAACTGTTATCTATCAGCACATTTATAATGAGAACAATGACAAAAACATTAGTGGAGAAGGAATAAATGATTACCTCATCACCTCCCAAACGATGAGTACTTGATTCATCGTATGAAGAGGGCGCACTGAACAGTTGAGATGACAACATGGCTGAATCGCCAATATCAGCCTGAAACATTTATATTGTTGACAATACATATTAAGGTAGGATTAACGGAGGCCTTAAGCAACCCCCATAATTCACTGCTATATGATTTTAACCACACCATTGATCAGCTTTGTTTATATGATATTCTAATGGATAATGGATAATTTACATGGGGTACTAAAAGGTTTAGTTAGACAAGAGTTTATGCAATGCTGGATCAAGGTCTTATGAACCAGGATTGGGATAATATATTTCCATGTTCACATATTATTCTTACTCCACACCATTCATTTCAGATCATAAGGGACTTAAAGTGAAAATTCCTTTGCACATTGGTGAAGGTCCAAAGCCTTTCAGTTTTTTGTTGGTTTGGAATAAACAGCCAGTGGTTGGTAACATTATCTCTGATTAATAGTCATGGGTGGAAATCCAATCCAGGAGTTGATGTACTATTTTACATTGGTTAAAAGGGCTATAAAAAATTGAAATTTTTGTAAAATTTGGGTTTGTTTTTAAGGAGGTTATTGGTATTAGGAAGTCTTTTGAGCAAATGCAATTGAGTTTAGCCGAGAATCCTATGAATGATGTTTTCATTGAGGAGTAGGATATTAGACAGAAATTTGAATGTGCTAGCTCTAATAAACCAATTCTTCTGTCTCACAAGACAAGAATTAGATGGATGAAGGACCAAGACAGGTGCAGAAGGTTTTTGCATCAGCAAATTAAAGAGCATACGGCTAGAACCAATATCACTATCATTTACGATGCGGAAGGGAATTTTATAGATGATTATGGGCATATGAAAGAGAATGAGGAACTTCATTTTGGGGCATGATGAAGATATTATGAAGATACGAGGAATTTTAAATGAACCAAGCTTGCTGCTCCTAAAGAAGAAGGTGGTTTGGGGGTGAGAAGAGTTTTGGATATTGATTTACTTGAAAACTGTGTATTAGCTTCAGATTATTTATTGTCTAAAGATAGGATTTTGGTGGTTGGGTATAAACATTGTTCATGTTACCTAAGGAATACATCCTTTTGGCAGGTTATTCCAAAGGTTTCAGATTCTTCTATATGGAAGAGTATAGTTGTTATTTGGGGGACTTCATGAAGATCAACTGTAAGTATGTTATTGGAAAAGGAACTGACATCAACATTTTTCTTCATCCTTGGTGTGATGGTAAAATGATGTCAATTTTTTTTTATCACATACAATTTTCGATCAAGAGTTTTGGGGATTTTATTGCTGCAAGTCAACGGAAAATGGATAATATTCCAACTGATCTACATCAGTGTTTTGCATTAGGTTTTAGTGTGACTTTTTCTGATGTTGCCTGGTCTGTGCAGAGTTTGGTGTGGGATATACCCTATGTGACTTTTTCCGATGTTACTTGGTCTGGGCAGAGTTTGATGTAGATCAGTTGTAATATATTGTTTAGATGTAAAAAAAATTTGGTCTATTTTGGAAAAACAAAGAAAATAATGCATCTTAATTAACACACTTATATGGTTAGTTGATGAAGTACATGGTTCACCAATATTAAGCTGTCTATTGTGGAATACAACTGGTGGTGTTACGTAAGATTCTTCATTCAGAAATTCGACGGGAATTTATGCACCCTAAAATATTTCATATAAACACTGTCAATGCACTTTTAAATATAATCAACATGTTAACCAAAAGTTATGAATGAATAGTAACTGCTTATATATAATATACTTGCAATAATACTCACATCCACTAACACGTAGGACGGGGTTGACGGACTATCACTGCCACCCGTCTCCCAAAACAACGGTTTCATTTGATATCTAAAACATAAAAAATGTTAGTTTCTTCCACTCATGAGTGTTTTATGACGAATGATATAATGTTATGAAATCGAATTTATTTTGTTCATATGTTCAAATAGTTAAACAATGAAATAGCAGTGCGTACGACAGTAACGTATACCTGGCATGTTGCTTTCATTGACTTCCTCATTTTCCCACTATTTAACTCTATGGCTGGTTTTAGCCTCTTAAATCGTCCTTTAGAGGTATCTTTAACTTTCAGGGACATGGGAATTGTTCTACTGTTGTTTTTCACCCTTTTTTTTCCCTTACCCCTTGTAATTTTCTCTGCAAACCTACGACCACAAGTTATTTGTACTGTTCTTTTCCAGTCCAGTGCTTTTCCTAATAGATCTTATATCCTTCGGGGTCATGCGATGCAATGGAAGATATTTCAGTCAGTATACGGCAAAGCGTCCTATGCCATCGCCTAATCTCAAGTTGAGGATCCGGATTCACGTCGGTGGAAACAATTTCCTCCAATCTACCATCTCTAGCATTTCTAGTCCACCTTTTTATAATATATCGGGAAGACAACTCATTCACAAACATGCACTCTTTAAGGATTTTCAGACTGGGCCTGCACAAATAGCCATGCCTTTCAAATTTACAACATGAGCATGGCAATTCATCTTAAAATGTCCTGCTCACACGACGTTGCACCTCGTCCTCACCAGCAACTTTACAAACATAGTGTCCATTGTTATCCAAGTCACTACAACTAATAACAGCCTGACTCACAAGAGCAGCTAAAAACCTTTCCTGGAAAAGCTGAAATATTGCCTTGGTGTACACCTTCCCTGCTTGACGTAATATGTGGCACTTTGTTTTTAGTTCCAATTGCCTCTCCACCAAGCCATACTCGGCTTCATACTCCTTGTACCGCTTGTCCGACAACAATCTGCCAAAGAGTGTGAAGAATTCTGGTATAATAAGTTGTCTGGAAAGGTAATACTTTAATTGACCATTGAAGCTTTCACTTAATTGCGTGCTACTCATTCCTGCAGACCAGTCGTATTTGACAAATGCCAGGGCCTATTTATGTCTCATGTCTAACAAAGTGGAAAGCCACTTATTACCAGCAACACCATACTCTGCAATCAATAAATCCCATTCCCTGATAAAATCATCCTCTTCCTCAATTTGGAACATTAATTTTGAGATGACCTTCTTTATTCCTTCAACGCATTTAAATAGAAACAGTAGGTTCTTCTGCGTATTATTCATTAAGTGCCAAACACATAAATGATGTTTCGTCACCGGCGTGACCTACAAGATTAATTAACTTAATACCCATGTTGCAATATTGCAAATCCAAAAAATACGACTGAAATAATACGATTGTTTCAGCATACCAAGTGACAAGAATGGAGATGCATGAAAGTTATTCACCTGCTTTAATATCTTCGCCATTGCAGCGTCTTGATCCGTAATAATCGTCTTTAGTGTTTTTTCGCCCATCACTTTCAAGAACGTTTCAAATAACCAAACAAATGAATCCACTGTCTCATCATACATTAAGGCTACTCCAAACACAGTAGTCTCCCGGTGATGATTCATACCTAAGAAAATTGCAAATGGTCTATTACCGTGTACCACTTTATACATTGTGTCGAAACTGATAACATCTCCAAACTGGCCATAATCAATTATCATTCTACAATCTGACCAGAATATATTCGTAATCATTTGCTCAGTATCCAGTTGCAAGGAATATAAGAACGAAGGATCTTCACAACTACGCGTCTCAAAATAATCCATAAGCCATGCCGCCTCTCCATAAAGAAGCTCCTTTTGTCTTCGTGTCCTTAGATAATTTTTAAGATCCACTTTCAAGTACCCAATGGATTCTTTGCCACCAGATTGCCTTCATATCAACTCATATGCATTACAAGCTGGAACTCCTGAATCCGAAGCCAACTAAACATCGATGGCCTGGACTGAGGAAATTTGTCACTGGGACAACATCATGTGGCTGCATTCAGCAATTATGAATAGATGGTTGTGACTTTCTACAAATTTAGAAACTACGTACTTTGCCTTTGTCTTGTCATACCTAAGAACCATTCGTGCACCGCAATTGGTTCGTGTTTTAGCCCGGGGAGTCTTTCTAAATATATCCCGTTTGTCAGTCCCCTTCACACCTTCCTTGCTACAAACTAATGCCCCTGATGTAATTCTTCCATTAACTTTATTGCCATACTCCTTCCGGATGCTAAAATTAATTCGAGCACCATATGCATTGTAAAAATCATATGCCTCTTCCTCACTATCAAACTCTATTTTATACCTTGGTTTCCATTTAATCACTTCTGGTTCTACAACAGGAACGTTTTGTCTGTTTGTTGTGTCTTGAATATTATTTACTTAACCTTCGTTGTGAACGCCTCAAATACAAAACCTTTTCTCACATATGCACAAAATATTGAATTAACAAAAATAATTTTACTTCTACATCCCAAGTATGTTCCATCTCAACGGCTTAAATACAAAACCTTTTCACATGTATCACCAATCAAATAAAAAAAACCTTTGCATATGCATGAGAAATTTAATTTAACATATATCTCATTCATTTCTTTATATGTATCAATCAAGTATATCCCAGACAACCGAGGATAAAAATCCTCGTTGCCACAACAGAACTGTGAGCACTTGCATTTTTAACATTTTCCGGGCATGTTAGCATTCATGCATTTTATTTATTGTCGGAAATTATGATTTAAGTTGCAAATGACATTTAATTTATATTGTGAGCACTTGCATTTTTAACATTTTCCGGGCATGTTAGCATTCATGCATTTTATATATTGTCGGAAATTATGATTTAAGTTGCAAATGTGTTTAATTTAGTTAAATGTCATTTTTTTATTTCATAAAGGACATGATGGACTTTTTGTTTTATAATACTTCTTTGTAGTAAAACAAAAACCCCTTCTCCTTTCAAGACAACCTTCAAAATCAGCAACAAGGGAACGAACTCAAACTTGATACTAATGGAAACTATCACAACCTTAGGAACGTTTTTCATCTTTACAACAACACCAAAATGTCACTACAAGAACCTCAATTTGGAACATGAAGATGATGACTATAGTGAAGGAAAATATGACGAAATGGTTTCTGCCAACTTTCTCTATAACATTCCTTTAGACAATTGATATGTGATAATATGCAAAACGTGGATGCCTTATCACACCGGACTATGTAAAATGACTAATAAGCCCATCAACAATTGCCAAATATCATTCATGCCATGTGCGTGATAAAAGTCAAGAATACCCTTACACAACTAACCAAATACCAATAATGCTATTTTGCATAATAAAAGTCTACTTTGCCCTCTATAAAATAATCAAATACCATATATGATATTTATAAAATAAAAAGTCCATCATGTCCTTTATGAAATAAAAAAAAAATGGCATTTAATTAAATTAAACACATTTGCAACTTAAATCATAATTTTCGACAATATATAAAATGCATGAATGCTAACATGCCCGGAAAATGTTAAAAATGCAAGTGCTCACAATATAAATTAAATGTCATTTGCAACTTAAATCATAATTTCCGACAATAAATAAAATGCATGAATGCTAACATGCCCGAAAAATGTTAAAAATGCAAGTGCTCACAATCTCCCCAACATACAAGGATTTCGTCCCCAATTATGCTATTTTATTATGCAAAATAGCATAATAGGTATTTGGTTAGTTGGTGTAAGGGTATTCTTGACTTTTATCACGCACATGGCATGAATGATATTTAGCAATTGTTAATGGGCTTATTAGTCATTTTACATAGTCCCACCTTTGACTATGTGTGTGCTTGACACCTATGGGTGTGATAAGGCATCCACGTTTTGCATATTATCACATATCAATTGTCTAAAGGAATGTTATAGAGAAAGTTGGCAGAAACCATTTCGTCATATTTTCCTTCACTATAGTCATCATCTTCATGTTTTGAGGCTCTTGTAGTGACATTTTGGTGTTGTTGTAAAGATGAAAAATGTTCCTAAGGTTGTGAAGTTTCCATTAGTATAAAGTTTGAGTTCGTTCCCTTGTTGCTGATTTTGAAAGTTTTCTTGAAAGGAGAAGGGGTTTTTGTTTTACTACAAAGAAGTATTTTATCTTCACCTTCTACTTGTTGATTTTGATCCATTTTTGGTGTGGCTTTGAATTGTTAAGCAAGTGTTCAAGCTTCTTTGAGGTAGGATTACTTAACTCTCACACCCTTTACCTTTAAGGAATCAATTCTATGTGTTTTGTGCTTAAAACATAGGCTGCTACTTGTTTTTCACAATTCTGGAATCACAGCGACTTGAACTTCTAAGGATCATAACTTAATCATTTTAAGTCCAAATTGAGTAATTTTTTAGTCTAAATTGACTAGATCGAAACAAGCTTTCCAATGATACCAATTTGAGCCTTAGATTCTAACTGTGGAGAGAGTTATGACCCTGTAAACATAGGCTACCAGGTTCGTGCTTTAATCTACAGAATTTCCTGCACAGCAACCTGAACTTCAACTGACCATAACTTCCTCATTTTAAGTCCAAATTGAGTAATTTTTTGGTCTAAATTGGCTAGCACGAAACAAGCTTTCCAACAATACTAATTTCAGCCTTAGAATCCAACTGTGGAAAAAGTTATGACCTTGTAAACATAGGCTGCTACTTGAAAATTAGAATATTGGTTGTTACGATATTTCTTGAAATGAGAAGTTTTGTACTTGATTTTCTAAATGTTATTAAGCACTGTTTATGTTGTTATGTGATAAATGTGAGTTAGAAAGTATGTTTCTAATGTTATACAACCATGGATTAATTAGCCTGTTAATTTACCATGCTTGTGTGAGGATTAAAATGCAATACCATTATATTATATATGAGTTGAGATTTCCATATTCATTCCATTATCCGTATATCATGTTATACAAATGTACATGCATGTCACATAAGCATGGGGATGATGTTGGAATGAAAAGGAAAGTGAAAATGTTTCATTAAATGGTTTTGAAAACTGGATAACAGGGAGGTGCCTTGTATCCGTGAGTTTTGAAAAGGGAATTGAATCAAAGATTTTAAAACTGGATAAGGAGTTGCCTATCTATGTAGTTAATGGGAATATAGAGGAGACGTAGGGAGTGGCTCTACGCGTAGTTGTGTCACTAGAGCCCCAAATGATCACAAGGAGTGGCCTTGTATCAGGGATAGATGACCAACTCTCTTCTCGTGGTACTGAGGAACAGCCCTGGGTGGATTACATTAACTTTTTGTGATGGACATGGGAGTTTTAGGAAGTGAGAAGTGTCAGTGGCATTAGCATTGGCATTGGCATTACATTACACTTCATTTTATTATCTCATATTATATTATGTTTTTCCCGAGCTTGTATGATCCCACTATCCTTTGTCTGTTCTTTGTTTGGATTCACGGAGGTATTAAGGAGTGCATTTTAAGTAATTCCCGCTGAGCTGTGGTTGCTCATTCCTATTTTATACACATCTTTTCAGGTCATGGCATGGATGGTGTGGAGGGTGTTCGTCCTCTACTGTAGACAAAGTCGGGGCTAGTGTTGTCATGTTTTTATTCCGTATTATAGACTATATTTTGCATTATATTTCTTTAGAATACTTCTGGTATGTAATAAATGTTATTTCAGACGTTAAAACTTTAAAGTTGTAATATGTGCGTCTTACCTATTTATTTTCAGTCTTGTTTTACGAAAAGGGAAATTGATAGGTGGATTGCTTGGTTGAGACACGTTACAGGGATATTTATTAATTTTGATACTATGATTGCTTACGTGTTGTGTTCACAATCCAAACTACGGTCATGGGGCGTGACAGTTGTGGTATCAGAGCATGGTTCCTATAACCTAAGGACGACGGGTAGATGTCTGTCTACAACTATGTGTGTAGGGGTTTGCATTGTCTCATATGCTTATATGTTTATCTGTTATTTACCTTGCAAGCATGCATATATGTATATGTGATTACGTGTTTATCTGATTATGATAAAGCATGCTATGTGTTTAAAGGCTTTTATTCATATGAGTCAGTTTTGGAACTGTGGATAGTGTCATTGTTATTGACTTGCATCTCATTATGTGTTACGAGTTGTATTTTGATTGGTATCTATGTATTTCCCAGTTTTGTTATGTTATGCATTATATGCATACATGGTTTCATGACTAGTGCATTGGTTTTTCTGGGAAGTGAGTGGTAGGACTGACGCCTGTAGCGTTGTCCTTTGTGGATGGCGTATCAGCATAAGCATGTGTGGGTATCATAGCATTTTGCATAGTGCATTTTGCATCATTGTTAGATATCCTCATTGGACACAACTTGGTTGGTATTGTGAAGTTCTACTAATGGTTTAGATGTGCACTAATTAGTGTTTAGCATATGTGGGTGTTTCATGCATATAACAGTGGAATGTTTAGTTGTGATTAGAATTGGAGTCCATAATTAGATCTTGATATTAGAAAATTTTTGATAGCAGTTAATGTTAGAATTGAGTCTTAGTGACTTGTGATTTGATTAAAGTGGGTCAGTGAAAATGTAATTGTTGTTTGGGCATGAGATGGCCAAATGGACCGGCCGGACATTGTGGACCATACCCAGCTCTAAACGCAATATTAGGACACTGACAAGGATGACGATTGGTGTGTCATGGGAGATACATATAGTTTCAGGAGATGTCATAGTTGTCTCAGGAAAAAGGATATGTTGTGGGATTGTATTAGGCACTGGTGATATCACATTACGTATGAGGGCATTGTGGGCAGGCAGTAGTTGCTGACTATGCTACCATGCTGACGAGTATGTGTGGGCGGGCTCTAGACGCCGACAAGGCTACCGTTCTTATAAGTATGTGTTAATAGACACTAGTCGCTAGTTTGATTGGTGGATCCTAGTAAGGTGTATTCTTTAATGACTACGATGGTTGAGGATTGACAGTTTTTCACTGGTATTATGCTAAATTGGTGGATTGCCACATTGGCATTCGTGGTAGTGGTTGTGTTATAGAATGTCATGATTAAGAAATTCCTGGGTTGGAATATGGATAGGGATTACGATGGTGATGGAGTTGAGGTGATAATGTTTTTCATTTAGTTGATTTGGAGTTCAGTTTAAGTGCTGGTTATCAATAAAAACTATTTTACTTTGAGGTTGGTCTTACTACGATAAATGCGTATTTCAACAATTATGATTTGAGCTAGCTCGGGTTTTGTGGGATTCGAATCCATTTTTGCTTGAGGGCACAAACTTGTCAGGCTTTGGATTCACGGATTGGAGTTAGTTGGTAGTAGATGCATTTTATCACGCGATTTTGTATCCACTTTTCCTAGTTAGTATCTGGAGAATTGGAGGGAGATTGTTTTGTGTTTGTGGGAGATCGGGGTGATTTCTTGGTTTCAGCTTGTTATGATGTTCGTGGTTGGGACCGTTGTGATTTCTTCTTAGCTAGCATTTTAGCTGAAGAAGATGGTGATATGGGGATAGTTTATCCGTCAGTTGTTGTGACTTCTTGGATGTGTTTCCAGATGACTTACTAGATTTACCTCCTAGAAAAGAGGTTGAGTTTGTGATTGATTTGATGCCTGGTACTACGCCGATTTCTATGGCTCCATATCGTATGGCACTAGCAGAGTTGGAGGAATTAAAGAAGCAGTTGGATGATTTAAGGCTGAAGGATTTTATTCGGCCTAGTGTTTCACTATGGGGCGCACTAATGTTGTTTGCAAAGAAAAAGGATGGTTCTATGAGGTTGTGTCTTGATTATCAAAAATTAAATCAAGCAACCATCAAGAACAAGTATCTTTTACCGCGGATTGACGATTTATTTGATCAGTTGAGGGGAGCTATTTGCTTTTCCAAGATTGATCTGAGATCTGGTTACTACCAGTTAGGAGTTCGGGATGAGGATATTCCAAAGACAGCTTTTCGTACGCGGTACTGGATTGGGAACGTCCCAAGAATGTGTATGAGATTCGGAGTTTTCTTGGCTTAGTGGGTTATTACTGCAGGATTGTAAGGGACTTTTCTCGCTTAGCCACTCCTATGACTCGGATGACCCGAAAGGGGATCAGATTTGATTGGACTGAAGCTTGTGAGTCACTTTTTTAGGGTTTGAAGACTAGATTGACTACAGCTCCAGTATTGGTGGTACCTGAGCGTGGTTTGGGTTATGTTGTCTTTTGTGATGCTTCTCAGGATGGTTTGGGTTGTGTGTTAATGCAAGATGGTCAGGTAGTGGCTTATGGATCTAGACAGTTGAAGATTCACAAGCTTAACTATCCCACTCATGACTTAGAGCTGGCAATAGTTGTCTTTGCTTTAAAAAGCTAGAGGCATTATTTGGATGGTGAGAGATTCGAGGTGTTCTCGGATCACAAAAGTCTCAAGTACCTTTTCTCTCAGAAGGACTTGAATAACAGGCAGAGGCGATGGGTAGAATATTTAGAGGATTATGATTTTGATTTGCAGCATCATCCGGGTAAGGCAAATGTGGTAGCAGATGCCTTACGCCTGAAATCTCATTGAGTTTTGGCTGGGTTAGCCATTCAAAAATGGAAGATGTTGGAGGATCTAGCAAAGATGGGATTACAGTATTGTGATGACAGTGTTGGTTATGAGTCAGCTTTTCTATTTAGTCTTGTGGTTCAACCTACTCTTGTTACACGGGTGATTGAGTCACAGAGACAAGATTCAGATTTAGTTGCCATTCATTAGTTGATTTCAGGTGGGGACATAGTAAAGGACTGGACCTTACATACGGATGGTGGTTTACGGTTCGGAGGTTTGCTTGTGGTTCCTACGATTTGTCAGGAGGATGTGTTACGGGAGTTTCACACTTCTCGTTTTACTGTGCATCCAGGTGGTACTAAAATGTATCATAATTTGAGACGCCAGTATTTGTGGAATGAGATGAAGGCCGATGTAAATTAGTTTGTTACCAAATGTCTTACCTATCAGCAGGTAAAGGCCGAGCATCAGAGACCTGCAGGTTTATTGCAGCCATTGCCAGTAGCACAGTGGAAATGGGAGTGTATTGCTATTGATTTTATGACAGGGCTTCTGAGGTCATAGAGGGGTAATGAGTTTGTTTGGGTCATTATTGACAGATTGACTAAGACAACGCACTTTTTGCCTATCAAGGCGACACATTCTGCTGAGGCACTTGGCAGATTGTATGTCCAAGAGATCGTCAGATTATATGGGGTTCTATTGTCCATTGTTTTGAACAGGGATGCCAAGTTCACATTGAAGTTCTGGGAAGGGCTTCATGCAGCGTTTGGTTCACCGTTGCATTTCAGTATTGCATTCCATTCGCAGACGGATAGCCAATCAGAGCGTACTATCCAAATCTTGGAAGATACGTTTTGGGCCTGCATGCTTGATTTTGGTGGTAGTTGGGAGGACCACTTACCTCTTGTTTAGTTTACCTACAACAATAACTATCAGTCGAGCATTGAGATGGCTCCTTTTGAGGCGTTGTATGGTAGGCCTTGTCATTCTCCTGTTTGTTGAACTGAGGTGGGTGAGACAGCTGCCTTAGGGCCAGATATTGTGTTGGAAACTACAGGCAAGATTAAGTTAATTCGACAACGGTTGTTGACTGCTTAGAGTCAATAGAAAAGTTATGCAGATAGACGGAAACGGTTATTATCCTTTGAGGTGGGAGACCACGTGTTTCTCAAGGTTTCTCCACAGAAAGGATTGCTACAGTTTGGAAAGAGTGGCAAGTTGTCACCTCGTTTCATTGGGCTATTTGAGATTTTGCATCGAGTGGGTGAGGTTGCTTACAGATTGGCATTGCCACCACAGATGGACAGAGTCCATAATGTGTTTCATGTTTCGATGCTATGGAATTATGAGCCGGATCCATCACATGTATTGAGTTGGGTTGATATTGACATTAATGAGGATGTTTCTTACGAGGAGGGACCCGTTTAGATTCTTAACACTCGTAACAAAGTGTTAATGGGTAAAACGGTGACTCTTGTGAAGGTTTTATGGAGACATCACGGTGTTGAGGAGGCTACGTCGGAACGGGAACATGATGTTCGTTCGGTGTATCCGAGTTTGTTTTCTTCCCTAAAAGGGTGTGAGAGTTAAGTAATCCTACCTCAAAGAAGCTTGAACACTTGCTTAACAATTCAAAGCCACACAAAAAATGGATCAAAATCAACAACTAGAAGGTGAAGATAAAATACTTCTTTGTAGTAAAACAAAAACCCCTTCTCCTTTCAAGACAACTTTCAAAATCACCAACAAGGGAACGAACTCAAACTTGATACTAATGGAAACTTCACAACCTTAGAAACATTTTTCATCTTTACAACAACACCAAAATGTCACTACAAGAACCTCAATTTGGAACATGAAGATGATGACTATAGTGAAGGAAAATATGACGAAATGGTTTCTGCCAACTTTCTCTATAACATTCCTTTAGACAATTGATATGTGATAATATGCAAAACGTGGATGCCTTATCACACCGGACTATGTAAAATGACTAATAAGCCCATCAACAATTGCCAAATATCATTCATGCCATGCCAAATATCATTCATGCCATGTGCATGCTAAAAGTCAAGAATACCCTTACACAACTAACTAAATACCAATAATGCTATTTTGCATAATAAAAGTCTACTTTGCCCTTTATAAAATAATCAAATACCATATATGTTATTTATAAAACAAAAAGTCCATCATGTCCTTTATGAAATAAAAAAAAATGACATTTAATTAAATTAAACACAATTGCAACTTAAATCATAATTTCCGACAATATATAAAATGCATGAATGCTAACATGCCCGGAAAATGTTAAAAATGCAAGTGCTCACAATATAAATTAAATGTCATTTGCAACTTAAATCATAATTTCCGACAACAAATAAAATCCATGAATGCTAACATGCCCGGAAAATGTTAAAAATGCAAGTGCTCACAATCTCCCCAACATACAAGGATTTCGTCCTCAATTATGCTATTTTATTATGCAAAATAGCATAATTGGTATTTGGTTAGTTGTGTAAGGGTATTCTTGACTTTTATCACGCACATGGCATGAATGATATTTGGCAATTGTTGATGGGCTTATTAGTCATTTTACATAGTCCCACCTTTGACTATGTGTGTGCTTGACACCTATGGGTGTGATAAGGCATCCACGTTTTGCATATTATCACATATCAATTGTCTAAAAGAATGTTATAGAGAAAGTTGGCAGAAACCGTTTCGTCATATGTTCCTTCACTATAGTCATCATCTTCATGTTCCAAATTGAGGTTCTTGTAGTGACATGTTGGTGTTGTTGTAAAGATGAAAAACGTTCCTAAGGTTGTGAAGTTTCCATTAGTATCAAGTTTGAGTTCGTTCCCTTGTTGCTGATTTTGAAAGTTGTCTTGAAAGGAGAAGGGGTTTTTGTTTTATTACGAAGAAGTATTTTATCTTCACCTTCTACTTGTTGATTTTGATCCATTTTTGGTGTGGCTTTGAATTGTTAAGCAAGTGTTCAAGCTTCTTTGAGGTAGGATTACTTAACTTTTACACCCTTTACCTTTAAGGAATCAATTCTATGTGTTTTGTGCTTAAAACATAGGCTGCTGCTTGTTTTTCACAATTCTGGAATCACAGCGACCTGAACTTCAAAGGAACATAACTTAATCATTTTAAGTCCAAATTGAGTAATTTTTTAGTCTAAATTGACTAGATCGAAACATGCTTTCCAATTATACCAATTTCAGCCTTAGATTCTAACTGTGGAGAAAGTTATGGCCCTGTAAACATAGGCCGCCAGGTTCGCGCTTTAACCTGCAGAATTTCCTTTACAGCGACCTGAACTTCAACTGACCATGACTTCCTCATTTTAAGTCCAAATTGAGTAATTTTTGAGTCTAAATTGGCTAGCGCGAAACAAGCTTTCCAACGATACTAATTTCAGCCTTATAATCCAACAGTGGAAAAAGTTATGATCTTGTAAACATGGGCTGCTACTTGAAAATTAGAATATTGGTTGTTATGATATTTCTTGAAATGAGAAGTTTTGTAATTGATTTTCTAAATGTTATTAAGCACTGTTTATGTTGTTATGTGGTAAGTGTGAGTTAGAAAGTATGTTTCTAATGTTATACAACCATGGATTAATTAGCCTGTTAATTTACCATGCTTGTGTGAGGATTAAAATGCAATACCATGATATTGTATATGAGTTGAGATTTTCATATTCATTCCATTATCCGTATATCATGTTATACAAATGTACATGCATGTCACATAAGCATGGGGATGATGTTGGAATGAAAAGGAAAGTGAAAATGTTTCATTAAATGGTTTTGAAAACTGGATAACAGGGAGGTGCCTTGTATCCGTGAGTTTTGAAAAAAGAATTGAATCAAAGATTTTAAAACCGGATAAGGAGTTGCCTTGTCTGTGTAGTTAATGGGAATATGGAGGAGACGTAGGGAATGGCTTTACGTGTAGTTGTGTCACTAGAGCCCCAAATGATCACAAAGAGTGGCCTTGTATCAGGGATAGATGACCAACTCTTTTCTCGTGGTACTGGGGAGCAGCCCTGGGCGAATTACATTAACTTTTTGTGATGGACATGAGAGTTTTGGGAAGTGAGAAGTGTCAGTGGCATTAGCATTGGCATTGGCATTACATGACACTCCATTTTATTATCTCATATTATATTATGTTTTTCCCGAGCTTGTATGATCCCATTATCCTTTGTCTGTTCTTTGTTTGGATTCATGGAGGTATTAAGGAGTGCATTTTAAGTAATTCCCGCTGAGCTGTGGTTGCTCATTCCTATTTTATACACATCTTTTCAGGTCATGGCATGGATAGTGTGGAGAGTGTTCCTCCTCAGCTGTAGACTAAGTCGGGGCTAGTGGTGTCATGTTTTTATTCCGCATTATAGACTATGTTTTGTATTATATTTCTTTAGAATACTTCTGGTATGTAATAAATGTTATTTCAGACGTTAAAACTTTAAAGTTGTAATATGTGTGTCTTACCTATTTATTTTCAGTCTTGTTTTACGAAAAGGGAAATTGAAAGGTGGATGCTTGGTTGAGACAGGTTACAGGGATATTTATTAATTTTGAGACTGTGATTGCTTACGTGTTGTGTTCACAATCCAGACTACAGTCATGGGAAGTGACAAGAACATATATGTCCAACCAACTGATGCTAATTTCACACACTTTCTGAAAATGTTGGGATTAATATTATGCAAAATTTGGGATTTACATTAGCAAACAGTTGGGATTCACCTTACGAAATAGTTGAGACTCACCTTAGGAAAAAATTAGGATGTACCATTTCAAGAAGTTGGGATGTGATTTACAAAACCTTTGGGATTCACATTAGGAAAATTTTGGGATATACTTTACAAATACTTTCAGATTTAAATTACGAAAATTTAGGATGTACATTAGAAAAATGTTGTAACTCACTTTACAAAAATATTATAATGTAGGTAAGAAAGAATTTGGGATGCTTATTAGGAGAAAATTGGAATGCACTTTAGGAAAATGTTGCGATGCAAGCCCAACAACCAAACATTTCTTAACATTATAACACTCTGAAACACTCTTTTCCAGCTAGTCATGTACCCTACAAATCCTCTCATTTTTTTATCCTCACAAATAAACATTAAAACCCCTAATAACTGCATAATAAAATTGTGATCAATTCAAATTCACCACTAATTTGATATTTCTGGGTTTCTTACCAAAATTGTATCTATATATATTTGTTTCTGTCATTCAGTTCTTATGGAAATAAGATGATTTCCTTCAAAATCAAATCTCAAAATTATAAATCGTACTTGCTTAGGGTTGGAAATAAGGCGATGTCCTGCTTCAATTTAGAAATACACTCCTGTTTAGCTTTGGAAATACACTGCTGCTACTTTTTGGAAGGAAATCAGAATCTGCAATTTCATTGCGACTGACAAAAGCGCTGCTTCTATTTGGAAACAATTTGTAGCATCCAAATTTTGGGTTAATTCTTACAACAATCGATGCTTCCGGATTCTATTTGGAAAGAAATAAATTTCTAAAATGGCTTCATTCATATTTTGGGAGAGAAGAAGGCTAGGGCGGGATTTTATTTCTATTTCAAATGGCGCCTAAAATGAGGGAGGGAAGAGGAAGAAGAAATAAGGGGAGAACAAAAAGGGTATTCTTCAACAGTACATACATATATATATATACACGAAAATTCTGTATTCCAAAAATATATTTTTTAACCGAACATGGTTAACACTGTTCATTGACCCAAAATGGAGGAAATGTGACACTGTGGGACTAGAGGTGATCCTGGTCCTATTTATTATATTTTCAAAATAAGCAATTTTGTCTACTGACCAAATAACAAATTTACCATATCAAGATAGAGGGTGATTTCACCATCTTTTACAAAATTTCAATAATACCCTCCTCTATTTATTTATTTATTTTTGTTTAATAACATCCTCAATTTATCAACTGATGTAAATTAACCCACCGACTGGTTATTTTGGTAATTAGCATTCCAAAATCAATTAACAGACAATTAATATAATAACTAAGCGTTACTTGGAAAAATTGGCAGACACAAAAAAAAGAGCTAGAAGAATTAGTCCCAAGGAATCCCAGATGAGTCGTTGAATCTCATTTTTTTTCTACAACCTTGCGAAAGAAAATCTCTGAAAGATTGCAGAGAATATTCATTCTTTCTTGTATTGCTATCACATGCATATATACAATAGAGTACAACTGATAAAGGAAACATATCCCATGATTAAAGCAATCTAAGAATTATAACAGCTAGCTATACACTCCTAACTTACAGTATGCAATCCCATATATTTCTCCTTAATTTATATTGTGTAATCCCATAATTCATGGAGACTAGAATATTTATCCAATATCCCCCCATAAACGCGACGA